CAGTGTAGAGCCCAGTGCAGGGCTTGAACCTGAGACCAGTGAGATCATGACCTGAGCCAAAATCGAGTGGGATACTTAGCTGACTGAGCCACCCAGGCATGCCAGAAATTTTTATTTTTCTCACTAAACAATTCCTCTCCCCAAGGAAAGTTTCAAACAGTACATATGCGTATGTTCATCTATTTCAATGCAAATGGTTCAGATTAGACTATTTACAATGGAAATTCTTTTAAATCATGTGCCATTTAAAAAAGCAAGTTTCATATGTCTTATAAATGAGTAAGATTAACTTTTCTGTGCAGTGAATACAACTAAGATTACTTTGCATTGTCATTACGAGAAAGATTGTTCTTTGAAATTGTGTATGTGAGAAGGTGTTTGTCAGTGTGGGGGCTGAGAGGCATTAAAGTTTATGAAGACCTACTGTGTGTCATGTATCCTGTTAAGCTCTTTTTGCACACTATCTCACGTTTCCCACAGTTACTGGAGCTTTATTCCTTTTACATTGATAACACCGAGAGTGGATCACCTCTAATGGCCCCAACAGTCCTACAAAATAGCTACCTAAATCTTTTCCCAGACTGCACAGCTATTAACCCCCATCTATGTGCTCTCTGACAAATCACTCACTCCTTCTTTCATCCACTCTGTATTAATATTTGGAAACTTCAGAGTATCATATTGGTGCCAACAAATAATAATCCAAACAGACCGGAATAAACCATGCATACTAACTGCCATTTCTGTTTTACTTCCTTGTTTTATACATATTTCTCTTTGGACAGTGAAAGAAACTTGTAAGTAAACTGTTGTAAAAGTGACTCATCACCTGGTGCACAGTGAGCTACACATAACTTTTTGTAGCATCATTTGTCTACAAGACTTCTTCACTAACCACTGTCAAAGCTTAGAAAATGAAGGTGACAATAATGGCAGTGGTAAAAAGCAATGCGTGTGTGTGTTATGTGGGCACAGCCTCACAAATGGATTTAAGATAAAGATCTTGAATGGACAGATAGGAGGACCACTGATAACCAGCTAGCATAGTAACACATGCTATCACATGAATACCAGCTGCTTGGATTACTCACTTTAAAGCAGAGATACTGGGGCACCTGGGTGACTCAGTCAGTAGCTAAGCCTCAGATTCTTGGTTTCGGCTCAGGTCATGATCTAACAGTTTGTGAGATCAAACCCCATGTCAGGCTCTGCGCTGACAGCATAGATCCTGCTTGGGATCCTCTCCCTCCCTCTCCCTATCTCTGCTGCTCTCCTGCTTAGGTTCTCTCTCAAAATAAATAAATAAACATTAAGAAAAAAACAGATAGTATGGAAGGGTTGATGGGAGTTAAAACAGCCCAGAAATTCATTTACTGACACCTGAATTATCAGGGTTTCAAAAAGAAATACCCCATGGACACTTGCTTCTAATTTCATGATTTAGGCTGTATTCCTTAATAAATAATTTATTAGAAACTCACCTATAACATGTTTCCAAATGACTTCAGGAAGGAGGAGGAAAAGGATAAAGAGGAGGAGGATGAGGAGGAGGAAAGAGAACTGATAGTAACTGTTATCTGTATGCAACAGTCCAAGCTGTCGTTGGCTCATGACTAGTTTGGGTCATTCATTCTGATCTATAGCAATGCATGTGCCATCATATGTCTATCTCTATGCCGACTCGTTACACATACTGATGCTTTTCTGTTTCATTATTTCAAGAATGGCACAGCACCTATGGCTATGGTCCCAGTCTTCCCATTCAATCTTAGAATAACATAAAAATTCAGGGACCAGGGATCAAAACAGACCTTGAATTTATTTTTCCAATTGGAGGACACAGAACTTAGATGTCTCTATGGCACTTCAAAACATTCTGGGGTGCCTGGGTGCTCAGTAGGTTAAAGGTCTGACTTCGTCTCAGGTCATGATCTCGCAGTTCGTGAGTTCAAGCCCCGCATCGGGCTCTGTGCTGACAGCTCAGAGCCTGGAGCCTGCCTCGGATTCTGTGTCTCCCTTTCTCTCTGTCTCTCTCCCACTCACTCTCTCTCTCTCTCTCTCTCTCTTTTTCAAAAAAAAATAAATAAATAAACATTAAACAAAACATTCTGATGTTACACATACACTTGTATATGTCAAAGTACTTAAGTAGGACAAGATGGCTGTTTTTTCATCAGAAGAGTTCCATTTTGTAAATGAGTCTTTCAACTTTAATTCGTGCAATTATTGTTGCCATTGTGGGACATTCCTACATCTCATGGCTATGCCCAGTGCTTCTGAAATGTTTGCATCCCAGAAAGGTACAGGTGATCCTACCTGAGTTAGTACATCACCCTAAATTGTACTGTTTCTTGACATTTCTGTACCCTGAAACACTCACGTTTTAAACAATCCTATTTAGGGCCAGAAGTATAGAAAATACATGTAGACATATATTTATTGCTAGAAAGTGGAAAAGTGACAATAAAGTACCCCCCAGACTGAGAAGGCATTTCAAGATAGAAAAACAAATCAAGCCACTCCATACTATTTACAGAGTTTTATCCAAGGTAACTTACTGACAGGGGAAATGAGGCAGACCACAATCCAGGGCCTACACAGTTATTCTCCACAAAGTCTGAAACTTAACCCCACAGCTTTCATACAGCCAGGAGCATTGTGATGAGGTCAAGGGTAGTTGTCTTAGGTGGTACAATCTGTGCACCAGGGGAAGATCAGAAGAAGACTTCCCACATTCTGGTCAGGGCATACATTAACCTGCAAGGGCCTGGAACATGTAGCCCAAAGGGATGTCATTGCATGGGCAGGAATCAAAGATGGCAGAGGGCCAAAGATGGAGTCAGTATTATCAGCAGTCCCACAGTTATACAATGTTTATGTAAGATTCTTTGATTTTTTAACCTGTAAGCACCAATAAAACATATTTTTTCCTTTTGGAAAAGGCAATAAAGTGTCAGGAAATATAAGGCTTCTTTTTGCTTTTAGATATATTATTTTAATTAATAATAAGCAGTTACCATTTGTTTTCAGTCTCTGAATGCCAGGCATAGTGGTAAGTGCTTTTAAAAAATGACCTAAAATGTGGTGCCATGTTAGTAATAAGACAATAGAATGGTCAATGTAAGTTTGTGGGGTTAATCTGGTGTAAATCTGGGGTGGTGGTGAGGTTGAGAGAGGTCAGTCCAAACACAATCCAAATCCCTACCAGTTCAGCCTGGAGTTTGGCGCCACCTGCAGGTGGCTATTAGTTCCAGCTGTTGAATATTCAGGGCATTTGCAGTCAATCTAACAATGGCTCCGTGAGTTAATGCCCATTTTATTAGTCTTCCTCCGGGATATTAGGAAGCACCCACTGTTCCTTTCCCAACTATCTCAGAATGTAAGAGTTTTAGCCTGTCCGTTTTGGAGAAAAGAACTGAAAGCAAACTTGATCCAATCTTCAGCATGTGGTAGGCATGGCAGCTTGGGGTATGCTATCACAAAGTTTTAATGTATTTACATTTTGAGGAGTGAGAAATTTTTCTAAATTCTTTGTGGCTATTGAGAGATGGATCTTCATTGGGAACTCAGGCTGTAGATCACGTTGGTAAGGTTGAAAATTTGTCCAAGCACACATAGCTATTAATGCCAAAGTCTAGATTAAACCAAAGTTGATGGATCTCTCAAGTCTACACTAAACTATCCGGGAGGCAAGATGAGGAAGAAATCAAGAGGTAAGGTACATTTAAAAGTTAGTAATTCATGTGCCCTATTTCATTTGGGAAATTCTTGGTGAAGAAAAAGTGACTATCATTTGTAGAAGGCTTACTGTGGTGTAGGGCCCGTTATGAAAATTTGCAGAAGTAAAACATCCAAAGTCTGTAATCTAGTCTAATACTTCATTTAGGAAATTGAAAACACATCGTAAGCTCCCACAAAATGGACGTTTCTTTCCTTCTCTCCTGTCAACTCAAAATTTTTAAATGATTTTACTTAAGCAATAATTTTAATGAGTTTTATCTCAGCAGTCCTCCTCTTACAGCTGAATAATCTGGTCTGCAAGGAATTAAATAATCCTGCCAATTCACCGTTAGTGTGTTCCAGAGCAAGGGATGAATGTAAATTCGTCCAGCTCTGAAGCCCATGGCCTTCCCTGAACGCAATCCTGCTTCCTCCCCTCACGCTGCTAATTCAGAAACTAACTACAGGATATTGCCTTTACTTAAATCTTTAATATCCCCTTTTGAAAAGCAGACAAGAAAATGGTAAGATGGCAATTGCTATTGAGCAAAGGTAAAAGAAAGAAAAACTCTCAGGTTCAATCGCTCATATGAGAACACATCAGCATCCTTTCTGCCAATGAAATGTTGCCAAGGCAGCCTCATTTTCTTTTCTGTTACAACAAGAACGATTGAGGCACAAGAGGATAGATGTCTGTGTATTGGGCTTTCAGGGCCGATAATCAACTGGTATGTCTAGAAGGAGTGTTCTTCAAGGGCCACAGGTACAAATATTATGTAGTGAAGCATCAAGAGGATATACCAGAAATACCCCAAAAGAAGAGCACAAATAAAACAGGATTTGAAAGCTTGTCTTTCCTTATTTAGTATTTAGTGTTATTATATTAATCAGAGATTAAAAACCACATTAAGCAAATGAAACCAAAATCCTCTATAAACAACCAACCTCTACAGAATGACCCTGATAAGTCTTGAGACTCTTGAGACCACAGTGGCTTCCTGCAGCTAATTCCACCCTAAGTGGTTAGAATCACCTTAAAAACAATGTCCCCAAATGCTCTCCCTGAGAAGGAAAGCAAACACACTTTAAAATCTTTCCCAGGAAGTTTTATAGAAAAGAAAAAACGTGTGTGTTTCTATCAATGAAGATTGACTTTTGTATATTAAAATTCTCATATGGCTTCTGTAACAAATACCCTCAACTCTGATCTTCATGCATTCATACGTGTTCATTCTTGGCTAGAGTCCCTCAACATTTAATAAGCATCTGTTTTGTTCTAGGCATCATCCTGAGCATAGGGAAATACAGCACTGAAGAAACACGGTTCTATGATTTGCAATTGATCACAAGTTATTAGGGAAGATAGACAAGAAAACTAACAAGTTTGAAACAGGTAAGCACTATCAAGGCTTATGGATATGATGCTATAAAAGCCCAGCGAAGAGGTATTTAAATCAAACATAGGTGTGTGTGTGTGTGTGTGTGTGTGTGTGTGTCTAAGGAAGATTATCAAGGAATTAAATATTGAAGAGGAATAGTAAAGAACCATATGTTTTATTGTTGGGGGTTGTGGGATTCATTGCAAACAAAGACAATAGCTGGTCCAAAGGCAGGAAAAAATGTGATGTTTGGAAAGCCGCAAATAACTTGTACTTCTCCATCTGCCAAAAGGGTATTCAGATTTACATCTCTAGTTAAATAAAATCATACATTTCATTAATTTTACAGCCCTGCTCCTGTCTTTGGATTTTTTCATAGCTTGGTTCAGTTTTGTTTGTTTCTCTTTTGAGATAAAAGCTGATTGACCTTTGAGAAAGAGAAAGGGATATTTATATGCATTGCAATCGACCTGTCTCAAAGTCAAAACGGCACAGAGGTTATCTTACAGAGCTTCACAAATTTAGTTAGCGCATTGTTTACTGTAGTAACATTTCTACTTCGCCTGAAGCATTTTCACATTGCCTGACCTTTCTATAACACTTTAATATTCATATTTGGCTGCTGAACTATCACAGTTCTGTAGAGTTTTAAAGCTGCTAATCTGATCATTCCTCTCTATTCTTCTCACCTTCTTCATTTAGCCACTCCACTGACAGCAAAAGAAGAAACAGATTTAATTTGAATTTTGTATAATTCAAGACTGATGACCCAACAGAATATTCAGGGCATGCCTTCCTTTCAACATGAATATCGTGAGTAAAGAAATTCAAATGAATACAGTAATTCATAGTATGGACTCAATTACATCCATCAACAATTGTTGCTTACTTTCAACCTTATGCAGGCAATGCACTAGTTGCTGAGGCCAATAAATTCATGTCCATCTGATTAAAAATGTAAAGCATAGAGAGGGGTGCCTGGGTGGCTCAGTCGGTTAAGCGGCTGATGTAGGCTCAGGTCATGGTTTCACGGTTTGTGAGTTCAAGCCCCGCGTCGGGCTCTGTGCTTATAGCTCAGAGCCTAGAGCCTGCTTTGAATTCTGTCTCCCTCTCTCTGCCCCTGCCCTGCTCGCACTCTTTCTCTGTCTCTCAAAAAGTGAATAAACATTTAAAAATGTTTAAAAATATAAAACATATAAATTAATTCGTTATTCTATTCATTCACCCAACAAACATTTCCAGAGTGCATACCCTGTGTTACACAGTAGCAATACAACAGTGAACAGGACACAGACATTACCTTCAAGGAGCTTGCATGTGTTTGTATGGGAGATGCTGACAAGTAAAAAAAAAAAAAATTGTAATACACTATGACAATTCTTAGTATTAAAAATAAGCACAGGGTCACCAAAAATAAGCTTGGAAGCTCAAGAAAAGCCCTCTAAAGAATGTGACCTCTTAGCTGATATCTGAGGAATGAAGTGGCTTCCTAGTCTACAAAGGAAGAAAATAGTGTTTCCACGTTAGTTGTATCCCCTAAAATTAATTTTTGAAGCTTTAATCTCCAAATATGAGTGTATTAGGAAATAGGGCATTTACAGAGATAATTACATTTAAAGGGGGCCATTTAGAGTAGGCCCTAATCCAACATGACTGGTATCCTTTTAAGAAAAGAAAACACAGAGACACTACCAGCACATTCACTGAGGAAAGGCCATGTGAGGACACAGAGGGCAGCCATCTGCAAACCAAGGGGAGAGGCATCAGGAGAAACCATGGCTGCCTACACCATAATCTTGGACATCCAGCTTATCGAACTGTGGGAATATGAAATTCTGCACTTTAAACCACACAGTCTGTGGTTCTTTGTTATGGCAGGCCTAATCAAATATTACACAGGCATTGGGAACAGCATGTTCAAAGACCCAGAGATAAGTTAGAACTTAGCATGATGCAGGGCCTGAAAATAGGGATTACAGCTACATGTGTTATGAACTCCTAAACAGTGTGTGTGTGTGTGTGTGTGTGTGTGTGTGTGTGTGTGTGTAAAATCATGAGGCCCAATCAACAAAGAATTGTGCTTGGAGGATTAGAGATGGAATCGGACAAAGAGAATGATGGCAAACCTGGGCTCCCAGCGGCCACTGGAGCAGAAGTAAGAGAATATCGGCACTGGAATCAACGCTGCAAATGACCAGGAGCTAGGAAACAGGAAACCAAGGGGTGCCATGAAGTGGAGATGGAAAATACATTTCCTGCTATGGATGGGTTCTCAGGACAATGCTGACAGCCCCGTGGACCAAGATATAGCAGGAAGATAAAAAACCAAAACCCAATTATTTGAGGGCCTGGAGCTCCATGAAAGTGCCCAGGAAATGGCAGTGTTTCAGGTCTTCCAGTGATCCCTCCCCTGATTCTCTGTAACCTCTTCACAGGAGCGTCCCCCAGGGCCCAATTATTGCTTCTCTTGCCTTCACTTTCCATACTCATTCCCTCGAGATCATCACATATCACCCACGTACCCATGACTCCCAAATATATAATTCAAGCCTAGACATTTCTATATAACTCCAGACCTACCTATCCAACTGCATGTCTGATATTTCCACCTAGATGTCTAATAGGCATCTTTTATTTAGCACACCCTAAGCCTCATGTGGGATGTCCACCCCATCCCCCAAATCCTGTTGCAAGCCCAGTCACCCTCACTACCCTTGATATCACTTTGTTACTTATAGAAGTTCAAACCAGAAGCCTCACATTGTCCTTGAGTTTTACCTTTCTCTCACACCCCAAATCTAGACTATCAGGAAATTCTGGGGGTCTCTACCTTTAAAACATATCTGTTTTATGAGATAAGAACCCCCCATATCTCAGTAGTTCCACTCCTTTCCCCAAACTGAACCCACAGAGTCCCTCGTTGGATTATTGCAGCTTCTTCTTCACTGGCCTTCCTGGTTTTATCCTTGCCGTCCCTGTGTTTACCAGAATCACCTTTTTGAAAGTTAAATCAAGTTTCTAAACCCTAGCACTATTGACACATGGAACGAGTTGCTACTTTGTTGTTGGGGGGGGGTCGGGGCACGGGGTGGGGGGGGATGTCCTGTCTACTCTAGGATATTAATTTAGCAGCATCCCTGGCCTCTACCCACTAGGTGCCAGTAGCATCTCTCCTCACCTTTGTGACAATAAAAAAATGTTTCCAGATATTACCAAACGTCCCCTTGTGGGCAAAATTGTTCTTGGTTGTGAACTACTGAGATAAATCAAATCATAAGATTAAAAAAAAATCAGGATAAAAGCTGTAGTCCTCATAAGGGATTATACAGCCCTCCATTGTCTGCTGCACCCCATCCCTTTTATCTTTCTTGACTCATCTCTCACTTTTGTTCCAAACCTACTGGGCCTCTTACTGTTCTGTTCCATGAAATCCAGGCCTGCCCCAGGGTCTTTGCCAAGTACAGCTCGCCTCTGACCTCTTTCAAGTCTTGGCTTAATTACAAATGAGGCCTACCTGATCACCCAATATGAAATCACAATCTAGTAGGATGGCCGTTACGGCTCTGACATCTACTGTTCTCTCCTAATTTTGCTATCATGTATCGCTTTCTAACATATATAATTTACTAATTCAATCATTAGTTATTTACAGAAGATCCACTTTCTAGTAGACACTGGTTTATGCTTCTGAGGTTTAAGAGTAAATAAAACATAGATCCCAGATTCTAGCTGGGGGAAACAGATGTTAAACAAATCAACAAATAAAAGAAGTAGTATGTCAGAAGGTGCTAAGTGCTTTTGAAAGCCAGAAGGCAGGCAAGGGGATGACAGTTTTAGAATTGCAGCGGTAGGGCATTGCAATTTTAAGTAAGATAGTGAGGGAGGCCTCACTGAGGCTGTGAGATTTGAAAGATCATCAGACTTTGTTATTTTTCTAAGATATTGTCTGTCCTTCTCCATGAGCTTCATGAGGTCAAGAATTTTTTTTTCTGATTTTGATTCCCAAGACCACTCTGCCAACTTGAAGAGAGACTGACATCTGGTAGGTGCTCAATAGATAGTTCTTGAACTTTTCTTGGCTCAGAGAAAATTATTTGTGTTATGAAGTCTTTACAGTTTTGTTTTAATGGTGTAGAGGGAAAAAGGTTCAACTTGCAAACATGTCATTCATTTCTTGCATGAGTTTGTTATGGCCGTAACACAGATGGTTGGCCTTGGATGAACTTTAATGTCTGCACGGAAAGAGAACAGCAACATAAAATAATGTGGTAACTATTTTACAAACGGTGCACGCAGCGTTTTCAAGGCACAGAGATGACAGAATCCAGTTCAGGTGGTTGGAGAAAATATCTAAAATGTGCCTTGAAGGAAAGGTAGGCTCCAGTGGGGTAAAAAAAAGTCAGGCAGGAGACCATTCCAAAGATCAAGAGCATAGTGAACCAGATGTTACTGGAGCTCTGCTCTGAAATTGTGTCCATGACATTAACCAACCTCTTGCCTCTTTAGCTTATGACTTGTATGACTACAGTGACCGTGGGTATGGATGTTATTACTAAGGGGAGTATATTTTAATAATTGTTAACAGGACAGTGAGAATGATTTTAGACTGTTATAGGCAAACCTTATTTATGTAATTATAAACCTTGCCTTGTACCCCCTCCCATCATTGTTTCTTCTTTGATATGTTCTCCATTGTGTATGTGCCCTTGTGTTGGTTTCTACCTCAGGAGCAAAGAGGTGAACCTCTGCCTCTGCCCAGTCCTCACTCCCCATCATTCCAGTGATGGGGGACAGAGCCAGCACTCCTGTGTTAGTTGTTAGCTCAAAAGAATGGCAAGGTGACATATTTTGGGGTGGTGTATTCTGACCCCCTTTATAAGAATCAGTGGGAATAGATGAATTATTTTCTGAACGATAGTGAGAGTCCAATGCAGTAGATCTAGTTCCCACAAGGAGGCATAGGAGCAAGAGGAGAGAATGTGGGGTTTGAGCCAAACTAAGTACTGACATGTGAGCAAAGCTTTGTTAGGACTAAATTAAAAAGTGAATCTACAGGAGCCTCAGCCCATGACTCCTAGCAGACCAGCACTTACTACAGTTCCTGTGGCAGCAGGAGAGAAGACCAGGTGCCAGGGATTCCAGGGTGAATTCCAAGCAGAACTTTCCAGATAGTACAAGCCTACATTTCCTACTCTTTCAGGAAAGGCTCCCACTGTCTCCCAAATGCATTGCTCTCTCTCTCTTTTTTTTTTGGGGGGGGGGGGGAGGGGGCGATGTTTTTGCTGCCTTTTGGGCTTGAAACATCCTCACCAACTTCTTATTACATAAATTTCTTTTTTTAAGTGTATTTACTAGTTATTTTGAGAGAGCAAGAGAGAGGGTGAGTGGGGGAGGGGCAGAGAGAGAATCCCAATCAGGCTCTGCACCATCAGCACAGAGTCTGATGCAGGGCCCAAACTCACAAACCTTGAGATCATGACCTGAGCCAAAGTCAGACTCTCAACCACCTGACCAACCCAGGCGCCCTCATAACATAAATTTCAAGATGAAGTCAAAATGTCACTTCCTCAGTTAAGGCCTTTTTAACTTCCCCCAGTGAGTTTACCCATAACATTTGTACACTCTCTATTATGACATCAGCACCCAATTAATAGAGTATGGGTATGATCTTGGACCTTGCATATACCTCCACGAAATGCCTCATTATTTCTAGGAACTCCCCCCTCTTCCTTTCTCTCCCTGTCACCCTCCTGTGCCCATCCTCTCGCCTAAAGGACACTTTTATCACACTTTTAAATTGCACTTTTGGGGCGCCTGGGTGGCGCAGTCGTTAAGTGTCCGACTTCAGCCAGGTCACGATC